TCATAAGAGACAGGCAATATTGTCATCATTTTTTTTTTAAGAGGTGGGGCCTCACTCTGTTGCCCAGGCTGAAGCACTGTGGTGTGATCATAGCTCACTGCAGCCTTGAATTCCTGGAGTCAAGGGATCTCCCACCTCAGCCTTCCAAGCAGTTGGGACTACAGGCGTGTGCCACGGTGCCTGACTATGTCATCAATTTTTTTTTTTTTTTGTGAGACGGAGTCTCGCTCTGTCGCCGAGGCTGGAGTACAGTGGCATGATCTTGGCTCACTGCAACCTCCGCCTCCCTGGTTCAAGAGATTCTCCTGCCTCAGCCTCCTGAGTAGCTAGGACTACAGGCCCGTGCCACCATGCCTGGCTAAATGTTTGTATTTTTCAGTAGAGATGGGGTTTCACCATGTTAGCCAGGAAGATCTCGATCTCCTGACCTCGTGATCTTCCCGCCTCGGTCTCCCAAAGTGCTGGGATTACAGGCATTAGCCACCGTGCCGGGCCTACGTCGTCATTTTATAGATAATGAAACTCAGGCTCAGTGGTTATATGACTTGGTCCAAGGTCACACAGCCAGGACATAAATCCATGCAGGCAGCTGGCTTGGGGTTACTAGGAAAGAAAAGAAGGAACTCCCTCCCAGTGGTGACTACACTTTGGGAAAACAAACTTTACTTGTGAATACGGGAGGACTTAAGAGAGCTTGGGCCTTTGGAAGCCAGAGCAACTTGAGTTCAAATCCCAGTACTGCACTTGTGCATTTGGACAAGTTCTAAAGACAACAGGGGCCGGGCACGGCGGCTCATTCCTGTAATCCCAACACTGGGAGGCCAAGGCAGGTGGATCACCTGAGGTCAGGAGTTCGAGACTAGCCTGGCCAACATGGTGAAACACCATCTCTACTAAAAATACACAAAAATTAGCTGGGCGTGGTGGCACGTGCCTGCAGTTCCAGCTACTTGGGAGGCTGAGGCAGGAGAACAGCCTGAAACTGGGAGGCGGAGGTTGCAGTGAGCCGAGATTGCGCCATTGCACTCCAGCCTGGGCGATAAGAGTGAAACTGTCTCAAACAAACAAACAAAAAAGACAATGGGGCCTCAGTTTTTCTATCTGTAAAATGGACACACCAGTGCGTGTGTCCCTCTTACATAGAGCCTTTGGGAGTATACAGTGGGAGAATGCAGTTCAATGCCTGCCACCGGGTGGTGCTCAATACACTCCAACCCCACGCTGACCTTTCAGGTGATCTCTGGAACCCCCAGCCCCACTGCTGCACTGTTGCCTGCCTTCCAACTTCGGGGTAGGGCTGGAGAGAGCCTGCTGAATAATTGCCCTGCGCATGTGCAGCTGCCACGAGTCATGTGGCCTGGTGCCACCCAAGTCCTCAAGGGCGAGGCCTCAGGAACTTTCTGTCAGTGGGGACCCTTGGGACAGCTTTGTTCTCACCTCAACCGAAGCTCGGGGTCCTGGAACATCCAAGTGTGCACTTGAGGAGCTGAGAGAGAAGGCAAAGACCTTCTAGAACCTCAAATGAGGATTCTTTTGACCTTTGTTTTCTGCTTTGAGACAGGGCCTAGCTCTGTTGCCCAGGCTGGACTGCAGTGGCGCAATCACAGCTCACTGCAACCTCCGCCTCCCAGGTCAAGCCATCGTCTTGCTTCAGCCGCCTGAGTAGCTGAGACCACAGGCTCGCACAATCACCCAAGCTTTTTTTTTTTTTGAGACGTAGTCTCATCTTGTCTCCCAGGCTGGAGTGCAGTGACCTGATCCTGGCTCACTGCAACTTCCACCTTCTGGGTTCAAGCAATTCTCCTGCCTCAGCCTCCCTAGTAGCTGGGATTACAGGCAGCTGCCACCACGCCTGGCTAATTTTTTGTGTTTTGATATAGACGGAGTTTCACCGCATTGCCCATGCTGGTCTCGGGAACTCCTGAGCTCAGGTAATCTGCCTGCCTCAGCCTCCTGAAGTGCTGGGATTACAGGCATGAGCCCCCATGCCCGGCCCACCCAAGCTATTTTTTAAAATTGTTAGTAGAGAAGGGGATCTCACTTTGTTGCCCAAGCTGGTCTGGAGCTCCTGGCCTCAAGTGACCTGCCCACTTTGGCCGCCCAAAGTGTTGGGATGACAGGAGTGAGCCACTGCTCCCGGCCACCCATTCCATGTTTGAGGGAGGCTTTGGCAGGCCCCTGGGACCAAAGGAAACCAACGAGGGAAATGGCTGGTCTGAGGCAGGGCAGCCCTCCTGGGCAGCCCTTCCTCATCCATTCACCCAGGTAACAAATGAGCCCTTCTCTGGTGTTCAGCACTAAAGATACCGTGACATGGGCCCAACTGGGGAGATAGACTTTCCCTGGGAAGTGGAAACTGAGTAGAAACTGAAGGGATGCATCCGAGTTAATCTGGGGGAGCTGGGAGCGGAAGAGGTTGCAGATGGACCAGTGACATTGAGGAGGGTAAAAGCTTTCAAGGGAGAATGAGCCTGGATGGTCTCGAGAACCGGCGGGCGTGGGAACAGTGGCCCTGGGAAGAATTTTGGACTTGATCCTAAGAGCAGCAGGAAGCCACTGAAGCTGGGGGATAATGTAATCTTTAGAGTCCTCCACTGAATCATTTTGCTTTGCCTCCTCATTAGGAAAAATGGATTTTGAATTCCACACCTGCCACACTAATTTTTAAAACTTTATTTTCAGAAATAGGAAATAAGAGAATGATGGACTATGTGTTTCTTCTCAGGGTTAAATATGCTAAAAGATGCAAATTGCCTAGCATTCTATATGTGGTTTATAAATGGTAATTCCCTCTCTCTCCTCTAAATTCCATTCCACAATTTCCACCATTCCAGGAGCATCGAAGGAGATCAATCCTCCCTACAGACTAAAGAGAAATTTCATTTGAAGTACCTGGATGGATGAAAAATTTGATTGGTTCAAAAGATTCAAGGGTAATTATTTTACAAATTATTATTCAAATAGTATGCTCCCCATGACCATACAATGTATGATTGGATTTATGGAATTGCAATTTACATTCAACTTTTTAGAAGCACATTTATTTGTTTACTTAAAAAAATCGTTTTGAGACAGAGTCTTGCTCTTTCATCCAGGCTGGAGTGTAGTGGCATGATCATAGCTCACGCAGCTTCGATCTCCCAGGCTCAAGCAATCCTCCCACCTCAGCCTCCCTAGTAGCTGGGACCATAGGCATGTGCTACCATGCCTGGCTGATTTTTTATTTTTAGTAGAGATGAGGTCTCAGTATGTTGCCTGGACTGATCTCAAACTCCTGGGCCCAAGCAATCCTCCCACCTCAGCCCCACAAAGTGCTAGGATTACAGGTGTGAGCCACTGAGCCCGGCCTAGAAGCATATTTATTTTAGAAAACAAGACCAAGTTTCACAAAGGCAGGGGCCACGTCTATGTTCCTCCCCACTGTAAGATCACCACCTTGCTGGACGCATAGTAGACTTTCAAATATTTGTTAGATAGATTTAAATACTGGAATATATTTTCTGCTACATTGAAAGTCAGGGGCCTCAATTCTAGGGTTTTCTCTTTATAGTTGTTAACATGAATTTTGATGGCATGAAAATGCTTGTTCTCTGAATTATATTTAGCTCATACAAACTCTACTGCACAATTATGTTGTAAAGACGAATTAAGTTTTATCTTTAAGTTGTTATTATAGGCTTGGGAAAAGGTGAACATTGAGAATAACTACATGAAGTGGTAGCATATTGTAAAGTTTGCTACTTTTTTTTTTTTTTTTTTTTTGAGACAGAGACTCGCCCTGTTGCCCAGGCTGGAGTACAATGGTGCAATCTTGGCTCACTGCAACCTCCGCCTCCCGGGTTCAAACAATTCTCTTGCTTCAGCCTCCCGTGTAACTGGGATTACAAGCGCCCGCCACCACGCCCAGCTAATTTTTGTATTTTTAGCAGAGATGGGGTTTCACTATGTTGGCCAGGCTGGTCTCGAGCTCCTGACCTTGTGATCCGTCCGCCTCGGTCTCCCAAAGTGTTGGGATTACAGGCATAAGCTACTGCACTTGGCCCTACTTTTTCTTTTTAATGTGGTGTAGGGCCTAGAACAGACTGTCACGTGTGAAAGGTATGTCAGGCAGGGTCTGTATAAGAAACAGATGGCACATTCAAATTAGATCATTAGAAGAAGATTTAATAAATGGACTATTTACAAGGTTTAAGCAGGGCGTGGGGAAGCTATAAGGGATAGTGCAGTACCCACAGGGCCTTTACCACTCTTAGATCTGAAGGTTGAGGGGAGGAAGAAATGACAGAACCCAGAAAGAGAGAGTTGTGTGGAGCAGGCTGCCTTGAGAAAGAGGGGTGACCTTTTATCAAAAGGCACAACCAACCTAAGGCCATCTGGCAGGAGGGAAGTGGGGAAAGCAACACTTCACCCATGCTCTCCTCCTGCCCTGCCATCTCCTGCTGCCGCTCCCATTGGCTGTGCCCGCTGGAAGCTAGAGGGCAGGAGAGCTGCTGCAGTCCATGTAGGTCAGCCCGCCAGGGCCAAGGGCAGCACGGAGAAGGGTGGAAGAGCAGATCCAGAGGGCAAATGGAAACTATCTGGTAGAGGAGACTTCATGTGCATGCTGGATAAAGACTTGATATTTAAATCCTGGTATCTTAGGGAGGCTGTGAAACCTTAAGGGATGGAACTACGACAGCAGGTTCAGGGTTCTCGTTTGTTCATTCCTTAGATCTCCTGAGGATACTAGAAAAAGTATTGTGCTGGGTATTTGAGAGAAGCCCAGCAATGGCAAAGCACTCTGAGAAATTCAATGCATTTTCCTTCCTGATGCATATATATATATATATACACACACACACACACACATATATATATTTTTTTCTGATTCATATATTTTTAAGAACACATCCCTCCTCTATCAAGAGCACTTGTTTAGAGCTCTGAATAGTAAATACAATCCCACTGGTCTCAAAACGAGACACTGCTTCCCCAGAAGCAAGAAAGTTCAGGCAAAGCATACAGGTTCTGTTTTTTTATTTTTATTTATTTTGAGACGGAGTCTCACTCTGTTGCCCAGGCTGGAGTGCAATGGCGTGATCTTGGCTCACTGCAACCTCTGCCTCTTGAGCTCAAGTGATTCTCATTCCTCAGCCTCCTGAGTAGCTGGGGTTACAGGTGTGTGCCACCACGCCCAGGTAATTTTTGTATTTTTAGTAGAGATGGGGTTTCACCATGTTGGCCAGGCTGATCTTGAACTTCTGACCTCACATGATCCACCCACCTCGGCCTCCCAAAGTGCTAGGATTATGGGTGTAAGCCATGACGCCTGGCCTCCGGCTCTAAATCTTATGGCTAGCAACTGACAATTATGTCCCTCACCAGGTCGGTACCCTTTAGGTAGTCGCTGGATAGACATTTTTTCAGGCCGGGGGACCAGAATAGAATGTGTGAGGGCGACTCTGGAAAGTGGACTTGCTCTTATGAATGGAGTGGATTGTGGTCTCACATTTTCTGAATCTGTGAAATCATTCCACTCGTTAATGAGGTCCTTTTAGAAGAGGAGGGAATAGATCTCCTTTAGTGACATGACTTTGACAAGCAAATCAATTCGTTCCATTTGTTTCCTCTTTGAAAACAGCAATCCTCGAGCGTTACATAATCTAATCTTCATGCCTCACTGGTTTGTTCTGTCCTCCTGAGGAATTGGCAGATGGTGCCAATGCGGAGACCCGCGCACACGCCTCGCAAGCCTCATGGTAACAGGAGAGTTGCTCACAGTGTCTGTCTCTTTGCTGTGGGGTCCCTCGCTGGCATTTGTTTCCCTGGATCGGTTGGCTCTTTAGCCTCCCTCAGGCACTGCTGGCTTCTTGCCCTCGGCTCTCATTCCAAGATTAATTGGAAATGCTGAAAGCAGATAAAAAGAGAACAGAAAGTGAAGTTGAAAGGGCAGAGAATTTGCTGGATTTTTTTCTAAAAGCCCTCCTCCGTTAAAGGCTGAGTATCTTTGGAGATTTTTAGCTTCAGAATGGTGACTCCCTCCTTTAGCCTGGTCCCTGTGTACATCTTTGTTGCTGGGTTACACACAGCACAGGGACAGGGCTGGCTGTGTCAGAGCTGGGAGAGTAGAGATCTGCTTGATAAGGTCTCTGAATTTCTCCAACAGCGAGTCACATATCTGCGAAATGACTGTTCCCCAGATAGGGCAGTTACCTGGAGTCCACCTTCAGGTCGGTGATGTCACTTACAAAGGGAAAATTATCTCAGAACTCTGTAAGGTGAGGAGCCTCCCGGCAAGGCCCTGTCAGCCAGAATTACAATGCTGAGATGTCCTAGTAGAGGCATTGCCTGTACATCTTGTTTAAAAATCTGGAAGTGGCAGCTTCCAAAGGAAAGGAGTATGGGCAGAGTTCTAACATTGAGGACTGGAAAGCAGCTGATGTGCTCTGGTATTGCTTTTCTTTTTCTTTTCTTTTTTTTTTTTTTGAGACGGAGTCTCGCTCTGTCGCCCAGGCTGGAGTGCAGTGGCCGGATCTCAGCTCACTGCAAGCTCCGCCTCCCGGGTTCACGCCATTCTCCTGCCTCAGCCTCCCGAGTAGCTGGGACTACAGGCGCTGCCACCTCGCCCGGCTAGTTTTTGTATTTCTTAGTAGAGACGGGGTTTCACCATGTTAGCCAGGATGGTCTCGATCTCCCGACCTCGTGATCCGCCCATCTCGGCCTCCCAAAGTGCTGGGATTACAGGCTTGAGCCACCGCGTCCGGCCTGGTATTGCTTTTCAATTGTTAAAATATTGAAATACTTCCATACTACTGGGTAAAGAGTTGAATCTTTGAATTCCCCATGCTCCCATCCCTCTGCTAATACTTAAGTCTGTTGAGAGGATCTTATTTTATTTAATTTCATGAGGAGCTCTACCCATCCATGCAGCACTGGGAGCTTCCTTTGCTGAACCCACTTTGCTTTCACCGTGCGGTACCAGTAGGCCTTCTTGGTGCACGGCCAGGCACCACTCCAAGTGCCACAGATGTAACCGCCCTGCTCACAGACTGCACTGTTGGCTGACTGCTTTTGGATGGAACCTCCAGGCAATTAAAACACAGAACCCTCCTGCCTGTGGCGAAAACATGCCTGGTCCTTAAAGGTCACATACACCTTTATGCTTGCGGTCACTCAGGATCCAGGTTGTATTTGCATGCAACAGAAATGAGCTGTCTGAAGGAGAACAATAGCCCCTGCTGCACCTTCTTTTATGGCCACCCTCCCCCATCCACTGAGTCCAGGCATAGAGGACTCATTTCCATAAAAGCAATAATGGGCCAGGTGCAGTGGCTCACACCTGTAATCCCAGTACTTTGGGAGGCCTAGGTGGTTCGAGAGCAGCCTGGTCAACATGGCAAAACCCCATCTCTACTAAAAATATAAAAATTAGCCAGGTGTGGTGGTGCACGCCTGTAATTCCAGCTACTTGGGAGGCTGAGGCAGGAGAACTGCTTGAACCTGGGAGGCAGAGGTTGCAGTGAGCCGAGATTGCACCACCGCACTCTAGCCTGGGTGACAGAGCAAGACTCTGTCTCAAAAAAAAAAAAAAAAAAAAAGAAAAAAGAAAAAAAGCAATAATGGTTATCTTTTCAAAAATTTGTTATTCATTCACTAAATAATATGATGTGAGCACCTATTATGCTATTATGTTTTGGTCACTGTGCTAAGTCCAGGATATACCTAAAGCAGAGCTTGTTTCTGCTTTCATGGAACGTCCAGTTTAGTGGGATGTTGGGAGACAGACCATAAAGGAGGCCGCAGTGGCTGAAATGTGGTGGGGTCATCTGAACATGCGTTGCTTTCGTCTCATGGAAACTGCATAGATGTCGTGGGTGGCTTCTGGTGTGTGGTCAACTTATCGAATGTATCTACCCTGTTAGAGTACCGGGGTGCATGGCACCAGTATTAAAGGTGCAAAGCATAGCGGGTGACTACTTCCTGCATCCATTGAGGATCTCAGAGAGGCTGGGAACTGCTCTGGATTAGGCAAAGAAAAGGGGGAATATTCTGAATGAGGAATGATGGAGACGATAGGTTCTAACATTTGGAGATCAGGCATGCTATTTATTTATTTACGACAGAGTCCCGCTCTGTTGCCCAGGCTGGAGTGCAGCAATGGGATATTGGCTCACTGCAATCTCCACCTCCTGGGTTCAAGCAATTCTTGTGCCTCAACCTCCCGAGTAGCTGGGATTACAGGCTCCCGCCACCATGTATGGCAAATTTTTGTATTTTTAGTAGACATGGGGTTTCACTATGTTGGCCAGGCTGGTCTCAAACTCTTGACCTCAAGTGATCCACCCACCTTGGCCTCCCAAAGTGCTGGGATTACAGGCATGAGCCACTGTGCCTGGCCAAGTGTGCTGCTGGAGTCCAATGGCGCGATCTCAGCTCACTGCAACCTCTGCCTCCCGGGTTCAAGCGATTCTCCTGCCTCAGCCTCCCGAGTAGCTGGGATTACAGGCATGCGCCACCAAGCCCGGCTAATTTTGTATTTTTAGTAGAGACGGGGTTTCTCCATATTGGTCAGGCTGGCCCCGAACTCCCGACCTCAGGTGATCCGCCTGCCTCAGCCTCCCAAAGTGCTGGGATTACAGGTGTGAGCCTCCGTGCCCGGTCCCAAGGGTACTGTTTTTAAAAGATGGTAACTTCTGACCAATCAGTCATCTGTAAGGAATAGGATTTCCTTCATCAATGCTTATCCCTCCTTTGCCTCAGTAACCAAGTGAGTTCAGTCACCAAAATCATAATTCATGCCCCTAAGATGGTCCAGTTGACCGTTGTGCTTGTCAGTATTAATTATTTTTGCTCTATCTGTCCTGATGGTTTGATTTTTCTTTTTATTGAGTTATTATTTACATGCAGTGAGATGTACAGTCTTAAGTGTATAGTCAGTTTTGACCCATGCATATATTCTTGCAACCCATACCCCTTTTCATTTTTATGTTAAAAATCTTGGAGGCCAGGTGCAGTGGCTCAAGCCTGTAATCTTTGGGAGGCCGAGGTAGGAGGATCTTTTAAGCTCAGGAGTTTGAGAACAGCCTGGGCAACTGAGCGAGACCTCATCTCTACCACAAATAAAAAAAAAAAATTAGGCTGGGTGCGGTGGCTCACGCCTGTAATCCCAGCACTTTGGGAGGCCAAGATGGGCAGATAATGAGGTCAAGAGATCGAGACCATCCTGGCCAACAGAGTGAAACTCTGTCTCTACTAAAAATACAAAAATTAGTTGGGCATGGTGGCACGCACCCATAGTCCCAGTTACTTGGGAGGCTGAGGCAGGAGAATTGCTTCAACCCAGGAGGCGGAGGTTGCAGTGAGCCAAGATTGAGCCACTGCACTCAAGCCTGGCAACAGAGGGAGACTCTGTCTAAAAAAAAAAAAAAAAAAAAAAATTGGTCCAGTCAACCGTTGTACTTGTCAGTATTAATTATTTTTGCTCTATCTGTCCTGATGGTTTGATTTTTCCTTTTATTGAATTATTATTTATACACAGTGAGATGTACAGTCTTAAGTGTATAGTTCAGTTTTGATCCAGGCTTTTTTTTTTTTTTTTCTGAGACGGAGTCTCATTCTGTCGCCCAGGCTGGAGTGCAGTGGCACAGTCTCCGCTCACTGCAAGCTCTGCCTCCCGGGTTCACACCATTCTCCTGCCTCAGCCTCCCGAGTATCTGGGACTACAGGTGCCTGACACCGCTTTTTTTTTGTTGTTGTTGTTGCTGTTTTGTTTTTTTGTTTTGTTTTTGAGACTGAGTCTTGCTGTGTCACCCAGTCTGGAGTGCAATGGCACAATCTCCACTCACTGCAACCTCTGCCTCCTGGGTTCAAGTGATTCTCCTGACTCAGCCTCCTAAGTAGCTGGGACTATAGGCATGCGCCACCACACCCAGCTAATTTTCGTATTTTTAGTAGAGCCAGGATTTCACCATGTTGGTCAGGCTGGTGTCGAACTCCTAACTCAAGTGATCCACCCGCCTTGGCCTCCCAAAGTGCTGGGATTACAGGCATGGGCTGCTGCACCCAGTTCCAGGCATAAATTCTTGTAACCTATACAAACCCTTTTCATTTTTATTTTAAAAATCTTGGAGGCCAGACGTGGTGACTCACATCTGTAATCCCAGCACTTTGGGAGGCCGAAGTGGGAGGATTGCTTGAGCTCAGGAGTTTGAGACCAACCTGGGCAACTGAGTGAGACTTCATCTCCACTACAAATAAAAAAAATTAGGTGGGCATGGTGGCATGCGCCTGTAGTCCCAGCTGCTTGGGAGGTTGAGATGGGAGGAATGCTTGAGGCTGGGAGGTCAAGTTTCCAGTGAGCTGTGATGGCACCACTGCACTCCAGCCTGGGCAACTGAGTGAGAATTTGTCATGAAAAAAAAAAAAAATCTTGACATTCTCTCAAGTGATGGACATTTGGGTCCAAGGACAGATTATTGGAAAAGAATCTTCTATGTAGTCCACTGACTATTACCCCCACCCTCTAAAATCTCATCCAATCCTTTCCTGAGTTTTGCAATCACACAGAGGACTTAAAACCGTAAGAACATTTTGTAATCCCAGCTTTCTGAAACCCAGCAGAGATATTGTCATCTGAAAACAAGGGGAGATTAAGTGCAAAATTTGATTCTGACAATAGCAGAAAGGAACAAGTTAGACAAAGAACGTCACAGAGAATTAATTCAAGCACCACCGTGTAAATGCTCCACAACCTTTTTCAAGACTCTAAACATGACATACAGTCTTGGTGAGGAAACAACAATTTTTAAAGGAGTTTGCTACAGGGACATGGCATCATCAAACTGAGATTTGTTAAATGAGACATCCAGGTACATTTTAGGAGTTTTGCTCTTAACCCTGCCTTACTC